CTGATTTTCCGAGCGCCATGTCGGTATCGGCCCTCAGAGCTGTACCAGGTACTCGCACCTTTTTCAGGCAGTTGTGCTCTCTGGCCTGCAGATAGTCCTGTGACGAGACACATGACCCTGTGACCAGGAGGACAGCGAGGAAAGGAGCTGCACTGTTCTCCCTGGATTGTTACAAACATCCAGATGTAAAGCTGGGTTTCTTTACTATATTTTTCCATCCCTACAGCTTTATTTGGAAACGGATCAAAAAATTAGTAGTGCTGTGCAGTGCACAATATCTGTATCGGCTTATTTTGGTGTAGTTGTCCTTTGCCAGCAGATCATTACTGCCAGGTGTCTTCCACTTACTCAGACTTCTGAGTTGAAATGCACCAAGCTGCTTTCTGGTTTTCTTCTTTTTCGGTTTTCAGTTTGCAGAAAAAAAACTGCAAGAAAGCTCTAGATGGTTCTCTGGGTTTATGAGGGCAGGAAAAAAAAGCATTTGGCAGACTGTTTATTTTGCCTGAATATTTAATGAAAACATATTGATAGCAGTCAATGCTATTGGTTTTCAGCTGGTTGCTGCCCTGCCTGAGGAAATTCGTCCTGGGCCTGATTTCCATGGACTTCCATGGGAGCCTATTATTATCACTGCCTTAGTGGGAATTGCCACACTTGCTGTAGTTTTCTGGAGAACCTGCCTTTCAGTGAGTATACTTCATGCTTGCAAACCTGCTGGTAGTTTACTTGCTTCGCAGTCTTTTGTGTAGTTAAACTGTTTCAGCATTACCAAGGGTCAAAGCAATATGCAGTCTTTAGCGTTTTTACTTTTAGAGCATTAACTAAATGCTTGGCTTAATAGCTTAAGTAAACTGTAAATTAAATGCTTATCAGCTGGAAGAAAATTAAGTTATTAATTGAAGATTTTTTTTTTTTAGTAAGGGACAGTTTCAAAAGCAAAATAGGGGGAGCATTATGTAAATGAAGAAGGCTGAGGGAAGGTTCAGCATATCTTTGAAATAAGGTTTCCATGTGCTTGAGCCTGTTGCCGACTCTCCAAAACAAGCAGTTAATCCTCTAGGCTTCATATTGTCCAGCTGCTTCCAGGCACTGCATTTAGAAACCTAAACCTGATCTTAATTCTCACTGGAGAGCCCCTGCCCTGTACTTCTCACTCGCTCTGTTTATCCTCCTCTTTCCTACATGGATGATTTTCTGGGCAAGAAAAATGCCAGTGCCAGCTCTCAGTTGGAGTAGTGCCTCACCTTCAGAACTAGTAGACCAAATTCAAATAAGGCAGCTCATTTTATAGCTGTCCAGTTTAGTGCTGATACACTCTGGAGCTCTGTGGAATAGTTTATTTTTACTTGACAAAAATTAAGATGAAGTGTTATCTCTAACAATATTAGTTTTTTTTCCTTTCTTAGTTTTGATGTTGAATACACCAGGAAATTTCAAATACAAAATAGTGTTACTGTAACAGCATAAAAAGAAAAATTATGAATTTCTTCAACACTGTTAATTTCAGAATAAGCAGCTGTCATGTAAACATACATTGCTTTAAAAGGGTAAGAACTGGGATGCAAATGGGTTTTTGTGTTTGCAAGTTCATGACTGTTGTTTGATGCGGAATGGCTTAATTTTCTTGGTTGCAAATTGGATGTGGGCAGTTACTGCTATCTTTCTAGTGACTGGTAAACAGATGTTTACTGAGGTGCTAGGACAGGGCATTAACCAAGAAGCTTTTATTAGAAAACAGCTTAAGCTTGTTTGTGGTGTTATTCAACACTGCTGTTGGCAGCAATAGGTGTCTCTTCCATGTGCTTCTTTAATGTGCACATAAGTGGTGACTTTTTCTGTAGGGGAAAATGAATAACGTTTTTCACTTAGCACTTTTTGTGCCTAATGTTGGCTTGTTTTTTTTCGCCCACCTGTAGGTAAAGAGTAGAATATATCAAGGTAAGTTTCTCTGTGCTTTTCAGTATACTTGATGCTTAGACATGTAAAAGTTTTGAGGGTTGTTTCAGAGGACCAAGTATTCATCTTCTCTCCCTTTCAATGAGAACGCTGAGCCTAAGGTTACAGTGTAAGCTGGGGCAGTAGATGATGGTGCTTACCTGGATTTGGGGATTTCAGTTTTGCTTTTGATAATGCTTTGATTGGGACAAACAATGCAGCTTGCACCTGCAAATCAAACGGCACAAAAAAGCTCCACCTTGTTCAACACCAACGTGGTCCATTGGTTTACTGGTACAGTGGCAGTGTGGCAGAGTTGGATTGTGTGTTTTGACTAGAGTGTATTTGCTTTTGCTTGTTGCTTCTCTCAAGAAGCAGTAGCCAGTTCTTCTTGTCCATTTGGACTGAGGGGAGCCTGCACCTGACTCCTGTGCAGTTGTAAAGAGACCTTCTAAATGTAGACCTAAATACCCAGATAGTCCTGTGGCTAGTGCATTGCTTTTCACAAGAACATTTCTCTAGCTTCAACTGAACAAAATTTAAGTCTACGAAATAGAAAAGAAATAGAATTTCGAGTAGAGTGATTGCTGAAATTCAACTGAATACAAGATGAAAATATGAAAGAATTGTTTACACATGAACACTCAGACTTTCTTTTTCACAAACTATACTACGCATCAGTCATTCTTTTCCAGTTGTGTTGTAGTTGCACTGCAGACTTCCTTCGATACAATTAACACAGAATTGATGAGCTGAAAAAAAAACATCTTGGGCAATTTCTCTGCTGCAAAACAGTTACTGTTATGGGAAGGGGAAAAACAGTGGTATTGGTGCTGTAGAAATTACCCAGCAGCCAGTGCCAAAAAAAGAAAAAGAGGAACATAGATCTAATTTTTTTCTTTATCCCCAAAAAATTCTTCTGTGTGATACTGTATAGAAACTACTAAAGCTAAGAACAGTAGATATTCTTGAAGTATGATAAAGTTCATGTTGTTATTAAAATTTTTACCCAAAATAGAGAAATACTAACAGTGACAAAAATGCTTTAAAAGGTGGTTTATATTTGGAGTCTCAAGGGTGAAAGCTATTATCCACTCTTCACAACAGTAGTAAAATTGGCAGACCAAGCTAATGCAAGGTTTCCTGCCCCCCCTTAAACTGCTGAGAACTGTCTTGTACCTCAGCCGTTGTTTGTTAGCTCTGCTCTGACTAGAGCAGGACAGGTGGAGACCCTCTGGCCCAGAAGCTCTCATGTGGGTGGGGAAGGAGGAGCAGCAGTTGCCTCTGAACAACCAGTGCTTCCTGTTTGTGCTGCAGGATTTGCTGGGAGGCAGATGGGGCTCAGAGTAGTCACATAAGGGGGCAATTTAGGACTTTGAAAGAACATCCAATTGTCATTCTTGTTGATTAATTTGCAGTAGTATAATTGAAGTATGTTAATTATTTTTATTGAATCCTAAGGGTTGGCTGGTAGCTTGTTCAGGTTGAGAAACAAACCTGTGCCTGGAGAACTGTTGCCTGGTCACAGCCTGTTTGAGGTCTGTTGGAAAGCAGTGCAGTTCTGTGGGGCTTACTGGTGCTGTCTGCTGGCTGACAGTCTTTTTTCTGCTCCCAGTAGGGCTTTCAGGGCTTCCATCCTGTTTGCTGACCAAACACTGAGTTTCTGTATAGCAGAAAGAGGTGGTTGTTAGTGAAGGTGTTGACGCTCCCTGAGTGTCGCAGCAGCCACCCGAGACTGCTCTGACATCCTCAGTGCCAGTTCTTCCCTTGAGCAGACCTCATGTGTAGCCAGCACCTTACTCCTCTCCGCTCTGCATTGTGTGACAGCTTCTGAGAAACAGATGAAAGAGCCCTATGCTCTGTGTTGGTGTTCAGTGCTTTGTTGTCTTCCTTTCAATCCTAACTCTAAATAAAAGCTGGAGATGCTTCGAGTCCTGCAGAAAGGGCTGCCTGCCAGGGAATTGGCACTATCCTGATTTGTGCTTTAGTTCTGGTGTGAAAATGTTCCCTGGAGTGGTAATAACGGTAGCTCTGATTCCCCCCTGGCCAGGATATGAAGTGCAGTTACTGTAAGCTTTCTTTTTCTTCCTAGTGACTGAAAAGCAACTTGCTGAAAAGATTAAAAACCTACTGCAAGAAAAAACAGAAATCTTAGAAAAGATATCTGAATATGATCAAAAGGTATTGTTCTAGATTCTCATCCTTGGCTCCCTGATATTCTGTTGTTCATATAATGGCAGAGTCAATGCAACAGCTAACATTTTTATTTTCTATTCTTACTGAATATTATGTTGATGGCTTCCTCAGTTCTGTTTGGTTGTTTCTGTGCTTAGATAAAGGAAGCAAAAGAATCAGTGAAAGTGGCCCAAGAACAAAAAGACATTCTCTCTGATGAAACTGCAGGGCTTAAGGTAAGAAACAGTTAACTGTCTCTGTACCAAAAGCAAAAATCTCAATAAAATAACATGCTTATGTTGACCTTTCTTTTGGGGTATTTTTTTTTTTTTAGGACACTGTCAAAGAACTGGAAGAAGCAAATCGTCAGCTAGATGACAAAGTAAGAAATCTGCACACAATACTTGAAACAGAGAGGAAAAATAATGAGAAGAAACAGAACAAAGTAAGAGCAATCATGCTTATGTCTTACATTGTCCTTAATGCACCTCAAAAACTGGTCACAACCTGATGGGTAAATGGATAGAGGTAGAGCAAACAGGATGAACCACCTCAGAAAGAGAACTGAAAGGAAATTTTAGCTTCATCCCAAGGTCAAGAGTGAGATCTATTGACTGTGGAGTTTGGGGGGGGGTGTGTTTGTGTTTGTTTTTCCGGCAATAACTTGATGGACTTGTGTGGTTATGTGCTTTCACACAAACCCAAATGTGTTCAAGTCATGAGCCAGTCTGGTGCTTCCCAGCTTTACCCAGGAAGTTCCTTTACAGTATGAGCTGAAGGTTTCAGGTTGTTAAGAGACATTTTCTTGTACTTAGAGGAAGCATCTAGCTCTATAGTGAGTGTGAAGATCTCTAAGCTACCCCACATTCATGTTGTCCAGAGGTATTTGTTTTCTTTTTTCTTCTTTTTCGAGCCTGATTTTCTGTAGTAAAGGTAAGATCTAACAAGGTCTTTGGTCTTGTGTTGATCAAAGGTTGTTGCTAATGGCAGCAGCACGTGTTACTTTGGTTCTAGACTGTGCAGGTGTACAGGGAAGTGTCCCAGCCATCAACGGGCAGAGTCACAGGGGGAAGTTGATTCTCATCTGTATGTTTCTGTTCCTTACCTTGCTGATAAAGCAGTGCTGTGTTGCTGCTAGTCTAGTGGCCACTTTAAGTGTATATTTTTTTTGTGTTTGACTTTCCTTTTGTGCTTCCAATTACAGCAGTAAACATAGTTGCTTGGGCTGAGGCATGTACCACACGAATAAAAAGTCACTGCTTATCTTTTTCTTACACAGATCTCTGAAACCCAGAAGTCCTTGGAGAAGCTTCAGGAGGCTATCAGTCTGCATTCGGTGGAGCTTTCAGAGGTAAAGCATTATCTACACACTCTTGGCAGTCACAAGATCTTGTACCATGGAAATTCATACCTAGGTTGCATTAGAACATGGTAGCCTGGCAGATTCCAGGGTGTTTGTGCATGAATACCTTTTTCTTTACCATTTGACCAGGTAATATGTAGCTCTTGCTTCCTTACAGTTTGACTTTGTCTTTTTGTTCCTTTTTGTTTCATCTGTAGGTGCAGATAGCCCTTAATGAAGCTAAACTAAGTGAAGAAAAGGTGAAGTCTGAGCTTCATCACATGCAGGAAGAGAATGCTAGGCTGAAGAAGAGCAAGGAACAAGTAAGTTATGCCCAGGGCAGGCAACTTTGTTTCTTTTTTTGAATGAAACGCTGAGGCCTTATTCCCAGTTCTCTAGAGTACAACTTCAGCATGTCTGTTTTCTTAACTTGTCAGAATTGCACATTTCATATTGGCAAGATAAAATTTAACCCCCTTGAGCCTGCCTGTCCAGGCTTTTTGTATGGATGAGCCTTGTGCCTTCAGCATGAATGCTTTGGCAGTTGCAGTGATTCAGTTTTTGTCAGCAACCTCACAGAAAGTCTGTGCTGATGTGGTAGTTCTGTGTGATCATAGATTATTACTTGGGATCAAGGCTGAAGGAAATTGTGGTAAAAAAATTGCCAAAAAGCAGCTCTGGAGCAAAGCTAAATGGATAGGAACTTTAGTCGTGAAGTGTCATTGACAGTTCTTTCACAAATAACTTTAAATGTCTGTTTTCTTCCTCTGTGTATGAGGTAGATGGCCTTTTAAGGAATGTGATTTGATTACCTCTGAGCTGCAATTAATTCCTCGTATTTTGAAGTGTGTGAGCAGTTTAGTTTTGATATTGATTGGGATATTAGCTGAGAAAATATAAAATTTTAAAAATCATCTTATAATATGAGTGGCAGGAAGATTCCCAGCATCCAGTTCTACCAGTGGTAGAACCAATGGACTAGTGATGAGTGTAGTGACTGTGAAGTTTACCCTTTCTTTGTGACCTATGCTGATCAGTTATCACCAGAGCTGGCAGTAAAATAGAATTTATTTACATATACCCTGTACTGAAAATAAAACAAGTAATCATCTTGCCTTGATACATCACACAGCTGCTAAAAGAAGCTGAAGGTTGGAGTGAGAGGCATACTGAGCTCAGTGAGCAGATCAAACTCTATCAGAAGTCTCAGAAGGACATAGAGGAAGCGCTTGCCTACAAGGAAAATGAAATTGAAGTAGGTCCTTTATAACAAGCTTGCTTTTAAATATTGCACATCATAAAATACTTCGAAATACGTTACAAAATGCAGAGCAATTCATCTTCAGTGAACCTTTGATTTCATTCCTAGGTTTTAACCAACTGCATTATGCAGCTGAAGCAGCTTGATGTGGATTCCATGTCCGAGGCCAGGAAGGATGACGAAGGGCATCAGTGGAGCTCGGGAGACGATCTGGCCAATGGAGAGCTGCCAGGTACGGGAGTCCCATGGGCCAGCTGGTGTGCCCAGTGGCTACAGCATATGTGGTGTCCTCTTGGATCGGGAAGGAGGGCCATCCATGCATGCAGCTGCTGTGGGCTAAGAGACTGCCAGCTTTAATCTGCAGACACAAAATATCCCCTGACTAAAGGGAGAAACCATTAAAAAGGTCAATAACTGCTTGTAGGTTACCTTTTGGGAATATAATGATACAGTTTTAAAGATGATGTATGAAGGTTAATCCCAAAGGCTGAGAATCTCAGCTTTGTTGTTATGCTACGTTTATTTTTAATGAGTGTTGTACTTAGCTCCAGATAGATAATTAATACAGGTAGTCACATCTTTTAAATCTGAAAGGCCAAAATATACATATTCAAAACTACTTAGGCAATTTGTCACTCCTGATGTTGCACACGTTTGCTACATCTGCTTTGAAGTCCATTTTTTATCCCCTCTCCCCCACTCACTTTTTTTTCTAACCATACAGTATCTGTGGGCTGGAAATTGCCACTTTTGATTTTCAGATACTATGTCCAGTAACAAACTGCTTTCACATGTGGTAAAATGTGGTGGCTGGAACAAGTGACAAGAAGGAATCTTCTGAGTGCCTTTTGGAACAGATTTAATAGTTCTGTTGTGTGGGTCATGGAATTGCTCTTGTGGTTTTTCCCCACCTCTCCCTTTTTTTTTTTTTTTTTTTTTTATCACATAAGAAACCTATCCAGATTGAACTGTAAAGTGTTATTTTTAACAGCTGTAGAGCTCAGGAAATTTTGGTTAAGAAACAGGGAAAACAAATATATTTTTCTCTTCTAGATAATGAGAGTGAGAAGATGAAGACTCAAATCAAGCAGATGATGGATGTCTCCAGGGTATGCTGTACAAGATATTTAATAAATGCTGCCACGTTACTACTATGCCTAAGGTCATAAACTTTCTGCTCCTCTTTTCAGGTAAAAACTATGCTATCCATAGTTGAAGAAGACAGAAATGCTCTGCAGTCCAAACTGAGTGATGAAGTAGCAGCAAGACATGAGCTGGAAGGTGAGCTTACCAAAAGAATTGCTTAGGATGAAATGCTGTCAGGAGTTTAAAAATAAACAGTTTTAAGTGCCATAATGGTTCTCATTGCAACTTCGTTCACCTTCCTCACCTACCTTTGCTTCTCCCAACAGAGCATATAAAAAAACTGGAACATGACTCCTGTTCACTCCAGTCAGCCAAAGCTCGGCTGGAAAATGAGTGCAAAACACTACAGCAGAAAGTGGAGATTCTTGGTGAGCTTTACCAGCAGAAGGAGATGGCACTCCAGAAGTAAGCCTGGCATTACTCTTCAACAAACAAACAAAAAACACCAAACCAGAACTAACTACTAACTTTTGGACAGGGGAGATGGGTGGATAATCGGCAGATTCTGCTCTGGCACATTGTCCAGAAATGTCAAGGAGAATGTAGTGGCCATTAAGATTTGTTCCATCTACTCTGACCTCAGTTCAGTGACTCTCATTCTCATAAAGCAGAAGCTCAGTATTTTAGCTGTGGGAGCTTTTTGCATTCTCAAAGGGCTAGCCAAGGAAATGGATTCTGTTGAAGTGGCCATTGGCAATAGTTAACTTACTGCTGGTTTAATGGTTCTAGTTTTGTGGGATAGCTCTCACAAGTTAGGAACACATTATGGTCCTCTTAAATACTTCCAGGGAAATATAAAAAAAAAAATTAAAAAAGACGGTGGAAATTGGTCATGTACTAAATTAGTATGGAGAATACTTAGAAAAAAGCTGCTTTCCACGCGGTTGATCACTACTGAACGTGCCTGTCACTTGGGCCCCAAGTCCCCCCTTGCTCAGTACACATTCATTTCTCCTGGTTACACATCCGTTCTGTGTATCTCCTTGTTTGTGCCTTTGTAAATCTGGATTGTCTTCTGTAATGTTGGTGAGTAAAGTGCAGGAGCTGAAGAGATGAACTGCCTGCAGTTTTTAGGTTCTGACAAACCTTTAGGTGCTGACAGAACTTTCCAGTCAACTCCACATCCTTAATTTTATTCACGAAGGCTTTGCCTGTTAGTTTCAAAAGACAGTATTTCTGTCTTTTTTAAGTCGCTTTATTCTCTTTCTGTATTCTCAGGCATTATTACAGATTCTGATATTACTGTTAGCAAGGGAATACCCAGATTTTGAGTTGTTGTAGATGTAGGATGGTGGAATATATGGTGGTTTGTTTGTTTTTTCCTCCACAGAAAACTAACCCAGGAAGAGTATGAGCGTCAGGAGAAGGAGCAGAAATTGTCTGCTGCAGATGAAAAAGCTGTGTTGGCCATCGAGGAAGTGAAAGTTTACAAGTAACTTCAGTTTTTGAAGACTGTTGTTTTCCTTTATTTCAGAAGAAAATTAATTTAAACATCTGTCCTTTCCCTCTTTTTCTTTTTGTACAGGCAAAGGATCCAAGATATGGAAGAAGAATTGCAAAAAACAGAGAGATCTTATAAAAACCAGGTAAACTTCTTCTCGATGGTTATTTTCTTACCTTTTACTCCATCATTCCAATGCTCTGTAGTGGGTTATTGGAAATACTAGTACTAGGACAAAATAAAGTAAACCACTTCTGTTCTTCTCAGATTGCTGCTCATGAGAAAAAGGCACATGACAATTGGGTAAGAATGTTCTTCATTTTCTGACACAGTTTGCATTTAACTTCAGGTTGGTGTGGTTAATTCAGTTGACTAAAATTTTCTCTAATAGCTTATTGCCCGCTCTGCTGAGAGAGCTCTGGCTGAAGAAAAAAGAGAAGCAGCCAACCTGAGACAAAAGTAAGTACAGTACAGACCTTTTTCACTGCTCTTTGAGCAGGCTGTGTGTTGCCTAGGAGAGAAGGAGCTCAGATGGTGCAGGGTGCTCCAGACATGTGGGGCATATTTGAGTTACTCATTTTAAACCACTATTAAACTCTTGTAATGATAAAAAAAGATTTATTGGTGAAAGCTGTAACATTTTACAGTACAGTTTGCCTTGTTAAATGATATGCCATGGAAGTCATGCGTATTATTTGAATAATAAATTATTTTTTTTAAACTTAGATTAATAGAAGTAAACCAAAAAATCGTCATGCTTCAAAGGCCTTTAATTGTAAAGCCAACTCCAGGCAGACCCAGTCGCCAAGTCCCACCACGACGAGGTAATTGCTGCTGTTTCTCCCAAAACTTTGGTCTTTGAGTTGGTATATCTTAAAAAAACCAAGGCTAGGATAAACTGTAGAAAAGTAGATGAAGTGTGTGTTTCCTCTTTGGCACAGGGCCCTTAAGCAGAGATGGCTCTTTTGGGCCATCACCTGTGAGCGGAGGGAATCCGTCACCCACTCAGATGATAGAAGTTCCTCCTCGACCCCTTTCTGCTCCTCGAAGGGAAGGCTCAAGGGGTGAATTTGGTAAGCAGTGAAGCTTCCCTTCTGTGATAATTCTTGTGCTACAAACGCAGGAATACCTGGGGCTGATCTTGGTTCTAGGGATAGTGTTTAGTGTTGTTACTTGCCTCATTAATACACAGATGAGTTGTTTTTGTTTGGTGTATTTTTCTTTTTTTTTTTTTTTTACTAGAAATAGCTCAGGCATGTGTTGATGGGGATCTCTGGGGTTCTTGTTTCCTTTAAGGTACAGTGGTAGATGGTCCTCCTGCTCCACGAAGGCCACCAGAGTTACCAGGAAGGATGTCTGTTCCTGGTAAGCTACGTAGCCTGCAACCAACTGCACCTTACTGGGTTAATTCTTCCACGTCAGAACTGTGATTTGGAAGCCAGGTTCCCTCTCCCCATGGTGAGACTTGCTCTCATGGTTCTCTTACAGACCTTGGGCCCGCTGTAGCGTCCCTGATTGGTAGTGCGCCAAGAACCTCCTCCCCTTCCACAGCAATGGATGGAGTGGTAAGCTGAAAAAAAAAAACAATCTTCAGGAAGTGTTTCTAGTACATGATTCACTGTACTTCCTGCTGCCTCTTTAACTGTATCATGTTCTGTCTTGTTTGTATCCTGTCACTATCCTTATTTGCTGTCCAAATAAAAAACAAAACAAAACAAAAAAAACCAACCAAACAACAAAACAAAACCCACCAGCCCTCTCCCAAGGACTGTGAAGCCCCCCGTGTAACTGCTGATTCACCTTCATCTCTTGAACCAGCTCCAGTGAGTATCCAGAGGCTGAATGTGGTGGTCCTCTGCTTTGATGGAGAGGAATAACGGGCTTGGTGTCCTCACCTGCTAAATAACAAAATGCTCTGCAAAACTAACCAAGGGCCTATGCTCTGTCTCAAAAGATGTCTCTAATGCTGGACAGTTGATGTCTGGTTTTATATGGAATTGAGGGAATGAAGTCTTTCTTGCTAAGGATTGCAGGCAAACACTTTGGAATAACTACAGCAGTAACCCCAAGAAGCTGACTTACCTGTGGTGCTTAAGCACAATTCCATAGGTGTAACACAAGGTGCCAGGCCCTTTGCCAAAGAGTTGTCCACCAAGGATGCTTCAAAAGGGCTTGGACTTTTCTTTAAGAAAATTTCTCATCTTGGACAGTGCATTGAGCACTCCTAGGTAGTGCAGGCAGGGTTCTGGGTGAAGGGGCAATGATGGTGCAGTATCTTTCCCTGTTTTCTACTTGGTTAATGTGTTCTGGGCTGTAGTGTGGTTTTTTTGTGGGTGTTTCTTTTTTTCTTCTACCTTCTGACCTTTGGTTGTGGTGTAGAGCACTGTCAGGACTTCTCTGATGCAGTGAGTAACACTGAGGCGTAACCTGATCTTTCACAGGGTAATGCTAGTCCCAAAGGCCCCCCTTCTTTCCCTGGGACACCTATCATGACCTCTCCAGTGATGGGACCTCCACCTCCACCGCCCGTTCGCTACGGACCGCCGCCAGCTCCGCTGCGTGGACACTTTGGGCCTCGACCTCTTCCCGTGCCCCTAGGTACAGCTGAATCCGCGTGCTGAAACCCGGCTTGTCCCGCTGCGGCACGGGGTGTGCTGTCCCCTGGCACCCCGCTCCCCCACGGTACATGTGGTCTAGCTCTCGCTCGGGAAGCTTTCACAGCTGGGCTTTTTCCAGCCTCCTTTAGGCCAAGGTATTAAGGGGGTGTTTTCCCTTGTTTAGTCTAAAATGGAAACCAGCAGCCCAAAGTCCCTAGAATGTAATTCGCAGCCTGTGAAGTCTGCACGTGACAGTGACCCCACCCCAGAGCCGCTCCAGAAAGTGAAGCAATGAGGAATGTGTCACAATTTCACTGCTTAGGTTGAAGCAAGATTTCATTTAACTCCCTGTTTTCCTTTCCTTCTAGTTCGTGGCGCTCCCATGCCACCTCCAGCTGCAAGAGACTTCTTACCTGGCCCACCCTTAGGAATGAGAGATGTGCCTCCTGGCCCACTGCCACCTCCTCCAGATCCAAGAGGCTACGGACGTGGGCACCCTCCATTTCAACCCCTAGGTCCTCCTGGCCCAAGAGATTATCCTCCAGGCCTGCGGCTACCCCCACCTGGCTCAAGAGACTATACACCTTCTCCTAACAGAGACTTGCCTCCGTCAGGACCTAGAGACTACCCTGCAGGCCCTCCTCCTCCTCCTCCAGGCCCAAAGGACTACACACAGCCGCCGGGGCAGAAGCCCTGACTGCAGCCTTGGCAGAGTGGACTCCATCACTTGTGCGGCCAGGAGTTTAGGCCTGAAGTGGCTCCATTGGAAGCCACTTGTCTCATTTCAGTATATCTCAGCTTTTGCAGGAGTAATTTTTATCCAATTGCTACAGACACTTTACATTCATTTATGATCGATCTCCTTAAGCTCATCCATCCTCTTGGGCTGCAAGAACCTTCTCGTGATGGACTTGAACCTCCTCTAAACGTGCAATAGAAAGGAAGTATCTGTGTGGCTAGTTTTAATTCAATGTAGCCTCTGTAACCAGTTGGTGAATGAACTAATTTCGTGAAAAATGTAAATCAAATCATTTCCTGTGGAAATAATTTTTAAGTAAAATGCTATCTTACCTGCCTTCTCCATCACATCATTCAGCTGCAGTTATTGTAGGCCGGGGGTTTACAGGAGGACTGTGAGGTGTTGTGGGTTTTTTTTTTAAAGAGATGTCTGGTCAGTGATCAGAAGCACAAATGACACTGTACTCAAAGGAAAGTTCTAATAAAAAGCAAAATTCCTTTTGCTAAACCCTGAAGACTTCGTTGTGGTGCCAGTTTTTGTTCAGAAAGGACAGTGGTTCAGGAATTTAACCAGAGAATTGAGTCAAGGCTGAGTAGCTGCTGCTGCAAGATCAATGACTGTTACCCGTGTGCTTCAGGGCTTCATGTAAGGAGGATGAGGTGGGATGCAGCCCTCCCCACGAGGGCAGTATGGAGCTGGGAACCTTGTGAAGCTGTGGAAATACAGGTGAATACTCCAGGTTTCTAAAAACTAAGAAGTTTCATAACTGCTTCCTGCTCTCAAGACCAGCTTGCAGCATTCAACAAAGCTTGAGAACTGGGTTTTTGTCCTAGTGTTTGAGTGACTCAGCTTCCTTAGAAGTAAGTTAAGTTGGATTTTTACATCCTTTCCCACTTTAGCTACAGTAAAAAAAAAAAGTAATATCCCATAAAAGGGACTGGGTGTATGTGAACCATATTAACTCACATGGTGTTAAATCTGTTTAGCTTTAAAAGCACTCCTACATGTGCAGCTGCTCCCAGAAGTCCCTGCAGTACACAGAGGAGGAGGTAGCGTTTGGCATGGCAGGCACCGTGCTTACCCAAACACCAACGTTTTTTGAGTGTGCTCTCTACAGGTCAGCCTTAGGGGGCTAAAAAGATGGAAAACAACAGGGAATAATAAAAAAACCCTTATGTTAAAAAAAGCCATTACACCTTTACTGCCAGAGTACACACAGCTGTTAACGTTGCCAACCAGGTGTTACATTCTTACAGTACAAGTGTTAAACTTCAGATTTGAGATGAAAGACAAGATAGAACAGGAGTAAAGCATAAACACACACCTAAGCTGCTGTGGGGAGCAGTAATCCTGTCGGTGGAACAGCTCCCAGAGAAAACACAAAGGATAGAAGCAGCTTTAAAAATTGTATTTCATGCTCTACAGCCAATAAATTGCCATTAGTTCAGTACAAAGCTCTACCTGTGTTTAACAAATCCTTCAGAGTTGATGTTGTGTGTAACTGGAGTTAACACAGACAGCTGCAGGTTGGGAAGAGGGAAGCAGCTGACACAAGGGGCGTGTTCAGTGTGCACACCCCTGTCCCTGAGTCACGCTCCTTCCTTCCCAGCACCAGGCTCTGTGCTCTGCAGTGCCTGCTCCCCTGCCCGAGGACAGGGACAGGCAGGTGAGCAGCAGACACGGGATCAGGGCAGAGCCAGGACAGTCGGTGCTGAGCTCCGGTCAGGCCTGAGCCAGCCAGGGACCACTGGCAGGTAACACAGCTATGGGCCAAGCCCAGGTTCATTCACAGCCATAGACTAATGCTTTGCACCATCCTCTCTCAGAGTTCAAAGGATGATTTTTATTTATTTTTAAAAAATGTACATATCCCCCTTTTGTCATAACTTGCAGGGACACCTGCTCGGGGCTTGACATTCACTGTAGCAGATGTAACATCACTGGGGTACCATAAAGACCCATGAAGAGGAAAATTCAGTTGCACTTCCCCCCACCCCCTCCAACCAGTAGTGGAATTTGAGGAAGCATTTCTGTCTATACACCTAAATAATGTCATCCCCGGTTATACCAGACCAAGGGAAGGCAAGAAGAAGGACTTTCAAACAGAGCTTTTTTACCCTAATCAATATGGTAAAGCCAAAAGTGCAAACTCCTTCCTGCAGGCACACAAATACCGTGAGGAAAAGTAACATCCCTTGCATTAAAGCGTAACGAAACATCTCAGGGGTGACAGGACAGGAAAGAGGAACTGGTGCTACATCTGCATCCAGACCTTTCCAAAGAAACAATATTTGACACTATCTTGAGAGCTGGGTCTTTCATTAGCATAGCAGAATATTTAGGCACTAGTTAGATACACAAGAAGTATACGAAACCTTAAAGTATTGTATTAAATAGCCACTCAAATATAGGAAAGATTTAACTGGGTTCTACTTCTGTCCCTTTTTTAGGTCAAAAGGGGAATGCATGCGTGTCATAAGCCAATGTCCTGCAGCTTATTACACACCAAATCAAAAATATAGAAAATAAATGATAAACCTATCTACTTAATATAAAAAGGTCATTTTTTTAGAGTATGTTTCCAGACTTGCAGGAAACTGCATACAATCAGCTTCCCTATGAACAGCAGTTTCATGTCAAAGGTGGGACAACCTGCTCACCTGAAGAGCAAGGGTCCGCACTGCTGTCACTGAGATGGTGAGGCACCCACCACCAGGAGGGTGAAGCCCTGGAGAAAACCTCGCTCTGTCCCCACCCGCCTTTCCAAACCACTCTGTGGCAAGGTACAGAACAAGTAGCTCTAGCGGGGTGAACAGCAGCTTAAAGGATCATAACCTGTAGTATCCACAACTCGGTACGAGTGGATCAGGCGAGGCTGTTGAAATCATAGTTCAGCATTCTCATCTGCAGTTGTCCTCCTCCTGGCCCAACCAAAGCAGAGCAGCTGCCTGAGGAGCTACTCCATGGCCACCCCACTTGGCCCAGCACCCTCCCCTCTCTCACTTTAAATCACTTGCAGTACTTCAAGCTCCCTCCCATCCAACCTCACCTTCCTCCCGGTCTCCTGGCACCCAGCCCACTAAAGAGGACCCCAAAATGCAGATGAGAGGAACTACAATAGCACAGCACGTGTATTAGCCCTGCCACATCTTTATTGCTACAGGTTTGGCAAAGGGGCAATCTCCATCCTTGGGTGGAGTTTGAGGCAAAAGGATAGTAACGGTTAAGATAAAAAGTGATGAACAGCAAAATTAGGAAAAGCAGTCGACGTACTTCATGGCTCTCAGAAAAACCTGTGTCTGGAAGGTTCTGAGGACTGGCCGGCCGGCGGGCTGGCGCCTGGCGTGGTGCTGCGGGGGCCGCGGTGCCTCCCCCCG